GATGCCTACGATCGTCAATTAATAAGACTAATTTTAGATAATTGTGCGATGGGACAATTATCGAGAGTTGACCTGTACTGTAAAATTAAAAACTGCGCGCAAAATTGTACCAAATTATAATATATTCATATATATCCAAACTTTTATCACGGATAAAGGACATTCTTGGCAATAAAAATCACGATTTTTGTTAAAACCTTTCAAAGCATGGTTTTTCTGTGTATCAATTCATATGTCAAGTTCAAGTGTAGTCCTAAAATTTTTAATTTTTAATACAGTAATGAATTTATTGTAAAGTTATTAGGGGAATAATGTAGTTCTTAACCAACCAATAATATTACAGTATGAACATATCAAAGAGCGAAGATGCAGCTAACGCCAAAAAATGCCAATCATTGACTTATGTGATTAAGCTGTAGATGCAGCAGCTTGTCCCTCGGAAAATTGACCTCACTATAGTATTATAACAAAAAAATATGGAATCTTGTGCAATCCTCAAAACATTTTTCGCCAACCTATCAAGATTTGTTCGAATTTGGATAACATCATGTGAATCCATAATGCTGCTTTTACTGAGAGTTTTGAAAACTCCGTAACATAAATTTTATTACTTCCCTTTATCATTTTGGCTTCTTATCTGATAAATAATAACTAGCCTTAATTTTAGAATCATATGATAAAAGCGCACCCGAAATAAATTTAATGACATTAAATATATAAAAGTAGTGTGACACAATAACAAATCACGACTGCTTACGTATGTTCTTTACAAGAGCTTGTGGAAATAGGAAAGGCTCGAAAGTTCTATTCTTCTAAACAAAATGAGCGATTATCTAGAAAATCCAAAGGACCTCATACGAAACCTTATTTATTATAAATCACTTTTGGAATTTAACCTTGATAATAACACTATTTCAAATGGACCATCTAGTGATGGTAACATCAAATTTGGAAACATTAATGGCGAAAGAGTTTGTATTAAATGTATAAAGAACGATAGATATGAAGATGAGGAAGGATATTACAGAAACCTTGTTAATGAGGTATGCATATAAAACTATGTAGCGATTAAATTACCATATTAAGTGAAGCGTTCAAATAATAGATAATAAATATACGTTGTATTGAACAAAACGCCAACGTAGTCAAGTGTCTTGGCATCACGAAAGGTATCCTTCTTATGATGTGATTTCATTAGCATGTTAACAATTGTCGGTTAATTACGTATAATTATTAAGATCCCACGATGAAATTCCCTTGTATGGTATTAAAATATGCCTATGGAGGAGATCTTGGAACCTATCTTGAAAAAAAGTTTCCGGAACTAAATTGGTCTAAAAAGATAAAAATGGCAAAAGACATTGCAGGTGGTTTGACTTTTATTCATAGAGCAAATATTGTACATTGTAATTTGGTGAGAGTTTATTTATTATTTATAAAAGCAAAGAAACCTTCAATCAATTATATATTAATATATCATTAGAACCCTAAAAATGTACTGATTCATCAAGGAAATTTGTTAATTACTGGCTTCGGTTCATCCGTAAGTTCCAATTCACCAATAAATTCCGAAAGATTCCTTGATCCCGAAATGATGTCATATGTGGATCCTGACTTCCAAAAGGATAAATATTCGGATCTTTACAGCTTCGGGGTGATATTATTTGTGATATCTGGTGGAACGGTACCGTTTGAAGAAGAACCAGCGAGTAAATCAAAAAACGTCCTCTCTTATGAAATTAGAGAAGAACCCATTGATCGAACTCCAGTAGATTATGTAGAAATTTATTGCAATTTATTAGATAAAAACCGCGAAGTGCGGCTATCAGCTGAAAAGGTCAAGGATTGTCTCGGAAGAATAAATATCAAACACAAATATCAGAAGAATGCTGATTACATTCCAGAAATTTTTTTTAGAAATATTTTCTTCGCATATGAAGAGAATGATGAACTTCCGAGAGCTAGCTTAATGATTGTCAAAGGTATACCTCTTAACGAATACTTTCCTCTGATTCAAGACGAAACATATATAGGAAGGGATCTTACGAACGATATAGTAATTATGGATCAAGAAATTTCCAAAGTGCATGCAAAAATCATAAAAGATAATGGATTATTTCGAATATTTAATGTCAGTCCATTTGAAATTATAATAGATGATCACAAAATTCCACCTCACGGTTCAGATTTGCTTACTGAAGAAGTCTTAATCAAAATAGGAAAATGCGCTTTCAGTTATCATCGCGAAATCGACAAAGATCCGGTCACACAGATTTACAGCAGATGGTACTTGCGCAATTATATGGGAAAGCTATTCAAACGTGCTAAAGAAACAAAATCAAATTTATGGATATTATTTTTGGATTTAAATGACTTTTCATCCATCAACAAACAAAACGATCACGACACTGGCGATTATTGCTTGAAAGAGTTTGCGCGTTTGATTCAATCTAATCATGTTCGTTCCGGAGACATCTTTGCTCGTTATGGAGGAGACGAGTTTGTCCTTCTGTTAAAGGAAGTTAATCACAAATTAGCTACCGAAATTGCAAATGGGATTAGCGTTTCTGTGGAAAATCACGCATTCAAATATAATGGGAGAAGTCTTCGAGTCACAGTCAGTATTGGAAATGCCGAATTAAGTCAGTCAATTGAATCCATTAAAGATTGGATTAAGTTAGCTGATAAATCTTTACTTGATGCCAAAAAAAAAAAAGAAAACCTTGGTGGTAAGTACTTGATACTCAACATATGTTCCCACTTATGAGAAGACATGCTAATCCGTGAAACAAATTTCAATTAATATTCTAGACATCTTCGAATGATATTACAGTATCAATTGATTTTGAAGATTCTAAATACAAAATGAATTTTCCTAAAGGCATATCTCTGTTGAACGTTCGAAAGTTATTGGAAGACAAATATGAAAAACAAAAAAAAGGTCCGGATATGCGCAGTAATTGTTTTTTTTATGACTTTAAGTATGGAATTGTGATAGACGAGGACAAAACCAAATTGGAATGTATCCTTAATAATAATAACTCGATAAAAATTGTTGTTGATACGGAGAAACCAGATTGGACGAAGCTAATTCAGGAATGTGAATGTGCGTTTATACCATCCAAAAAAGGTACATTTAGAGCCACGATGGGGAAGAAAGCCCTTAGAATTAAATTTAAAAAATTATCATGCAGAGAATTTCCTGGTCTAACCGAGAGTAAATATCACTGCCAAAGCCATTTTGATCATTTATACGTGCGCAATCTGGTGGCTGAATTGGATTTAAAAAATTTATTATCTAATTTTCCACAAATAAACCATGATAAATTGTTCGAAACGTCCCAACTTTCCAAAACATACAATATAGTCGAACGCCAAATAGCATACATAGAATTTTCAGAGCAAGATATTACGATTTCTCAAGAGTTTATGAAAGAAATAGAAAATGCTCTGAGTGATGAATTAACAATTCAAACGCAATACGAAAATCTCGAAAAATTGAAAGAAGAATATGGTCATTTTTACGCTAAAAAAGTGACATTTGGTGGAAAAATTGTCGAACAAATAGGAGATTCGCCTACCTCTACGGTTGAATATCGCAATATTATTGGCGGATGTGTGAAAAGTTATTACAATAATAAAATTCCTGGATGGCTAGATTCACTAGAAAATACGAAGAATTGGAAAATAATTGAATATGAGAATATATCATCAATTTTTGACCTTTTGTCTGATAATGACCCGACTCAGAGTAAGTTAAAACAAAAAGTTTTGAATGTAATCAATCATTCATCAAGGTATCAATTTTAACCAGATGTCTTCTTTTTAATTGCATATTAGCACAATTATTAATACCAATAATCTTATATTCTTATTAAAGTGAATTAAAGGGTTCTTATTCAACGTGTGAAATCAGTTAAATATACCATCAATCGACACTGTATAGTAATTATGTACGCGTTAAACCTAGCCTGTTAACCACCGTAAGGAGTACTTTTCCGACTTAATTTAATTGTCTATCAGGCTAATCTATGATTTTTTTGCTAACTATAATAGAATTAGTGCAACCTGTAAATACTGTAGAAAATTAACTTAAGCTTTTGTACAGAATAAAAAAATAATAAAATGACACAGTATATAGTATACTGTATTTCTATGCCGTTATTCATTTTACTATATTTATACTTTCCACACTATCTGGTCCAATTTTATTTACATTATACAAATTGTTTTCGCAAAATAGGTACTGGTCGCGGGACTCCGGGATAACCTACTTGTACCATTGATTCATGTAATTTATATACGCAAAAAAATACGTACGTAATTAATTTATTAATGTTTTCGGTTGTAGGTATTATTTCATCCATGTTCTGCGATAATTAAAGAAATTTATCATAATATACAAGCATTACAAATATATTTTAAACAGGATACGTATATATTAATTCGGTTGATCGATATTCAGTAGTGGTTACAAAAAATGGCACGTTTTTAATATGAAATTTTTAATAACACGTCGATATAAATTATTTAAATAATTCAAAAAAATTTTAAAAATTTTTTAAAATATACTAAAAGAAATATACTCTGATTTAATAAATAATTTTAACAGCATTATTATTTTATTCAAATTTTAAATATTTTTTAAAAAAATCAAGTTATAAAATAGATTATAATATTGTTTGCAAGAAATAATCTGCAAATTGTATTATAATTGAAGTGTAATAAATTTGAGTTTGGCAAATAAGTTATATAATAATAAAATAATGAGCAATGTTAAACTTAAGAATACTAATTTTATTAATCAAATTTTAAAAGTCGTCTATTTTATTTTCTTGTACACTTACCAATTTATATATAATGTGATCATGCTTTTGAAAATGCAAAAGTTACAAAAAGTAAAGATATATATCAAAGATACAAAAAGTATTAAAAATAAAAAAAAATACAAATTGCATATTACAAAACCTGTTTTTATGCTATCTTTGCTTGCTTTTTTTATTAAATAAATTACTCTTATAATTATATTTAAATAAATAAATAAATATTTATTTATTTTTAATTAGTTTATAAATATTTTTACTATAAATAAATAGATAAATAGATATAATATTTTATAAAAGAAATATGTTAATTAATTTAAAAAATAAATTAATTTTGGTTTTTTTGAGTAAATCAAAATTATAAATTTTTTAAAATAATATAAAAAGTTATATTATTTAAAAAAGTTATATTAAAAAAATACTAAATCAAATAATTTTATTTTAATACTTTTTAAATATATTTATAGATTTCATAAATATAAAAATAGAATGCAAATACTATTTATTATGTTATAAAAGGAAAAAAATAAACATAAAAAAAATAAAAAGAAAAAAAAATCATTACAATTTTTTTTATATAACTAAAGAATAAATAATACTTTCAAACTTAAATAGATTTTAATCAAAGATTTTAATTTATTATATTGGTTATCTAAAAGTTTTAAATTCTTGAATTAAAGTTTACCTGTAATAAAAAATAATTTATTTTTTTTATACAATATAAACATAATAATTTTAAAAAACAATATTTTATATTTTATCTTATTAATAATTCAATAATTAATTAATTAATTAATTAATATATAGTGATTTATAATTTTTATAATTTATTTTATAATTAAATAAAAAAAATCATTAAAATTTTATAAGAAAAGCTTGTACAAAATTTTTTTAAAAATCTAAAAAAACAAATTTTCGTGAAGATTTTCAACTAAAACCGAATTGATGCTGAAAATTTCATGGGCATATATCAAAAAATGCTGGCAATTTTTATAATTTATTTTATAATTAAATAAAAAAAATCATTAAAATTTTATAAGAAAAGCTTGTACAAAATTTTTT